AAGTTGTTTACAATTTTGTATTCGTTCTTTTTTCGCGGATATTCAAGATGACAAGGCCGTGTAAAGCGAGTCTAATATAAGTACTAGAACATTTTATTTTGTTATCACTGAGATAGTCCAGTGGTTGTGTGGATGGACTGCCAATCCAGAAACTGGGGTTTAAATCCCACTTCGGACACTTTTTCACACTCAAAACGGCAATTTATGTGTAGTGAGCAATTGTCACCTGTAGAGGGCAGTATTGTGTTGGGCACCAGTGGAGAGAAGAGAGAAAAGGCAGTCCTGTGGCATAGATCCATGGTTTTCAATGCATGGGCGTAACCAGCTATGACGTCACACACAGGTTAGAGCATAGACAACTTAAATTCATGAAAAACACGTTCTTTTTATAAAATATAGGATTTTTTTTGCCGGAATCTCTTTCAAATTGATATTGTCATGCAATTTTGATATCCACTATTTTTTTTTAAAAAACCCGTCATAAGGTCTTTAAGAGACACAAATCTTGCTCTTTACAGACCTTGCATCTGTTGTGTATTATCGATATTATTTATCGTCCAGGTAACAAACCGCTCCGATAGTGTGGTTTGGTCATTGGACTGGCTTAGTCAAATTTAATCATTTGGTTTAAAGAAGAAACATTAGGCATTAATTTGACCATTAAAAATGATAATAATAATAATAATCCCTGACAACAAACACAGACATATAAATGACATAATTTCACATGAGAAATTACCAAAGCTACTTTATGGACAATACTTGTGTTTTAAAAGGCAGAAAACTGCTCTGAGTGTGATCTTATTGTAGTACAATGACATCATACTATTACAGGATTGAGACAGAATCTTTTAGGCAGAAGGGGTGAAGTCACATGTTTGTGCCAGAAGTACCTGATAATAGCATAGATGGATCTACAAACAACTCTGTCTGTTCTTGATGAGGGGACAATATTGAAATGGTAAAAAAAATCAAAAAAGTTGAAGTGCTATCGTGAAGAAATGTGTCCATAGATGTTATGAAGCAGCGAAGTATCCGCCCACCTCACAATCTCCATCATACTCTTGACATAGCACAAAGCATATTCCAGAAACATTCATTATGCCGTTTGAAAGCTCTGAGCTATTCAACAGCTATATTCAAGATCTACGATTTTATGTAAAATGTGTTTTTGAAGTTTTAAAAACACAATAGTGATACATTTTGCTGAATGTCTCCAATACAGTATCTAAATTGTTCTTGCGACCAGTTTCAGTGAACACTATGGGGAAATGGACAGAAATTTTCAAGAATGTTCCAAAGTATGGCATATCAATATTTTTCCCATGACATCCATTTATTTTCCGATGGAGGAAATTATACAGAGGTATTATATAGAAGGGGCTAAGAAAGAGAAGCATGCATAAGCGGGCTAGGATTATTTTTTATGTCAACAGACCCATATATACAGATCTTTATAGACTTCTCAAAATAATTCATGAGAGCGGTTTGCAGGTATAATCACCTGCGACCAACAGGGAAACATGATGGATTTAGAGAGCCCTTTCAACCAGTGCAGAAATAATCCACTATCACCTGATTGGTCACAATAATGTGGGTGGAAAAAAAAAATCTGAGAAGAATTAAGACAAATTTAGAAAGACTTTTTTGCTTTTGTTTGATTTTTTTATATAAAACATTTTGATGGTTACTAAAGGCTGCAGAGTTACTGTACATGTTTGCATCAGTTTCAGCTGGTGGTCAATGAAAAAGCTGTGGCACTGCTTAAAAAGTTTGGGGAACACTACTGTAGACAATGACAGGGAAATTTGGCCGTTTGATGCGTTTGTTCTCCGTGAAACGATGCTCAATAAAATACAGTATATGCACGTTACTTTGGACTTTGCACCATTAATACTACTTCAGGAAAAGGCACTAACATCAAAACACTGGTACCAGCAATATTTTAGTGCACACTTGTATGGTTCACTTTAAGTGAGCAAACTGACTTATTTTGATCAAAAATGCTTTATTTGTTAACTAATAAAGTGCACACTGTTGGTCCTGTTGTCACATAAGACATTTCAAAAAGGGATATGTGACTTTATAAGTCCAGTTAAAGTGAACTCTGGTTCAACTGACCAACTGAACACACCCTAAAACAGGGGTGTCAAACGAGTCTTCAGGTCAAGACTGGAGTCACTTGAGGAAATGGGTGGGATCTGGTGTGCTCCTGCTTATAGTGAATGCTTGCAGCCACAAGCCCTTTGAGGAATAGTTTGACACCCGTTTTAAAAGTACAAATATTTGTATTCAACTTGGGCTTAAAACAGGATGAATGAATAGAAACAGTAGTAAAACACCTCCGAAGTTGTGTAGGTGTGACAATATGTCAATATGTAATGCTATTTTACTCTGGTCTAAAAGAGAAAGAAATCAAAGTTAGAGACAACCTCCAAGAATGAAATGGTGGAAAACGGTTCTGTCCTTAAGGTTGTGTCTGTGTGGTTGGTGTAGTCCCTGATTTTAGCGTGGATGGAGCTAAAACAGACTCAAGGTCAATTGAGAGGAGTGAGATGTCACTAAAAATGACATGGCTATAATCACAGTCAACTGCTTTAGTTTCACAGTTCAAAAATGAAATTTAATGCCATATTGTGGAACATTCCCAGCAGATACACTTTGCACAGAACACTTAAACAGAATTTCTGAGCTCAGATGACTTAGTGAATTTTTCAAAACTTAAATAGAACTTGACGAGTACAATGTATCGACTAACGGAATGTGGGACTTTGTGTTAACAGATTATTGTCTGATGATTTTAACTCGTGTCAAAAAAGGATTATATATTATTATTATTATATTATTATATATTATATATAATCCTCAGGCTATGGCGTCATGGACTTAGTGGTTTGACTTTTTAAGCCAAAAGTACTGCACCTTCAATTACATAAAAAGCACTTAAACACTTTACTAGTGTTGCCCATTACTCCACATATTTTAACAAAATGAAACCCCAAACTAGTCTCTAAATAAATAAACACATCTTGTTCCATTGGTTGACAATTTACTCGTCAAGTCAGATCTCCTCAAATCATCATTTTTTGCATTGTGAATTCAGTGATGCGTTTTTCCTGTCTGTTTGGGTTAAGAGTTTGTTTTTATTGACGTACCAATAACCGGTCTGTGATTGGTCCGTCATGAGATGAAGCCACACTGTATAACAGACTGTAACATGAAACATGTGCATATGGCTTGGGCAGGTTGCAATGTCTGCAGTGTCATGGATGCCATCATGAACTCCAGAACATTCAAAACGTACACTTTTATGTAGAATCTATTTCTCTATCATGGACACGCCGCTCAACATGTTCAACACAAATCCCTACGGCCCACATCCTATTGGTACAAATGACAAATAATAATAAAGAATAGAAGAAACCGTTTGCCGCTTTCAGTCCCTAGACAGGAGCTATTGTGCGTTAGAGGAAACATTAGCAGACACAGGGAGAAGATGCAAACTCCATTCAGCTTAGGGGCTTCCTGCTGAGGCAAGCCTTTGGGTCACAAATGTTAAAAAGGTGGTGTCACAAAAAATTCAATACCATTGAACAGGTTTATCCAATGATTCAGTTACAAAATATCATATGTAACAATTACAATGCCTCAATGGACTTATTTTTTTGAATTACTTAAAATTGCAGCGCAGAGACTGTGTGAAAAGGGACAATGTTTTTGCAAATAAAATAATATTTATTGTGGAAAGATCTTATTTATTCTAACGATAAAGCATACTTTTCATAAATATTTTAATATATATTATAGATATTATATAATATAAAATAAATAATATTCATGTAAAGTAAAATGTTTATCGATCACACGATGAATCCAAATAATACAATTTTGACAAAGAAATACTTTACATTATTTAATCTAGTCTCTCCCCTTGACACTAGTAAGATATCTGGAGGAGAACAGTTCAACCTATTGGAAACGCATGTTCCTCACAATCAAGGATTTTAATTCAAGTTGTCCCATCAGGAAGCAGTAGGGCTAAGCGCACTATAGTTCTGTTTCCACTAGCCCTACTTGGCCCACCTCTACTCGGTTCTACTCTATTTGGTGGTTGTGTTCGTTGTCGTTTCCATTACGCTCTTGTACCGTATCCTAGCAAACTAACCACCACAAATCAGTATGCAGGGAAATTCCTTGGTAACCATGGCTCCCAGCGGCCCTCTAGCCAACTACTGTCAGAAAACTTTAGTACCAGCTCAGTCTGGATAGAAACTGAGAAGCAGGTACTAAAGAAGGTAAACAGGGCTTGTGGAAATGCCACCAGTCGGGTAGAGTAAAGCCGAATAGAGCCAAGTAGAGTAGGGCCAAGTAGAGCTGGTGGAATCAGGGCTTTTGTTATGCAAAGTGACTAACATTGACTTAAAGCCAATCCAAGTCAAATGTACCAATACCATGTGGCGCAGCTGTAGAACCATGGAGAGTCATAAAATGCTGATCCATTTCTATTATAGAGAGCACTTCTGGATTTCCGTCTAAGTCTCTTTCAATCTTTCCCATAATGACAATATTTATGTACAATATTGATATAGAACATAACTTAGTAGACAAAATACCTTTTCACAACTGACAACAAAGCCAACTGTAAAATCAGGCAAAAATCAACAAAATTAAATAGACATTTCTCGGTAAATATAGTCCTTTTTCCTTTTCCTGTGCTCCCAAAACAGGGCGAGCACGTAGGGGAAAGACGTAAAAAACATTTTCTGAGTGAGGCTGAGCACCAGTAGTAGTGTCTTGGTTCATATAAAAGTAAGAAACGTGGTCTCTCCCGGAGATCTGCTGCTGGGCGGGCAGGCGGGCGGGCGGGCACTCACAGGGACCCCGCTGTGATCAGTCCCTGCGGTGGACGAACTCAGCGGTGGTCGGTCCCTCCAGGCCCAAGCCCTCGTTGCACTGGCTTGTTGCATAAGAGGTTTGTGACCCGGTAGTGGGGCGGCGGGCTACAGCAGGTCCATCTTGGGTCTGTAGTGGAGCAGCAGCGGCGACTTCTGCAAGGCAAACACAGCACCACAATAAAAACTTTGGTGGAATAGTGCCCAGGATCATAACAATAAAAGATCCAGAACGCCGCAGCCACAACTTCTCACTGAACCACATTACGCCAGTTTTAACATCCCTCCATATATTACTGATCACTTTTTTTTGCTCTGATTTGTCGAACGTTTACAAACATAAAATCTGTGGGGTACTACAAAATTAAATGTACAATTTTAAATGAGCTTTGGAATGAGTCCACTTGGACAAACAGTTTTGAAATTTGCTAACTTTCAGTCTCAGATGAAAGGTCGTTTTTTTCCATCACATAAATCTCTTCCACATCTCTCCATTGCTTTAATGTCAAAGCACCTTCAGTCAGTTTCTCATTTCCAGTTTCTTGCTAGACAGCAGCAATATTTTAAACAGATACAAATCCTTATTTTGAACGTCACTCTCTGACAGAAGTCCCAGGTACATGGTGCATGCCTCCATAAATATTTTATATCCAAATACCTTTCCCATTTCCATCACAAAATTTTGCCAAAAAGGTTTAATATTTGCACACTTCCAAAATACATGAGTGTGATTGGCAAAGTGCTGTAGTGTTGAAGTGTGCTGTAAAAGACATACAGAGTGCCAATCCTCCTTTGACAATTATTTCTGTTTGAAATACAAGGAGTTATTCTGGGGGACATTTTGAAAGCATTTATATAGTCTGAATATAAATGGTTGCAAAATGTCAAGGTCACTCTTTTCCTGTGATCGCTGATTTATAATTTCTGTATTTAAAAAAATGTCTTAATTGGATATATATAAACAAATCTGATTTATCAAGATCTAAATTTCTGCTGTAATTTTCCAAAAGATTTAAATACTTTTCCATTTGTTAGTGTACATATAGCTGTAAATGTGCTATCTAATTGGCCACTTTTAAATTTGGGATTAAAAGCTGGCCACCACAACAATTTCCATTCACCTTTAAACCCTAACCCACTCAATTTCCCACCAAACTTTTAAAGTTGTTTCAATGATTGGGTTATGTAGATCACCCAATTTACATGCTGTTATGAGAAAAAAGTCAATTCGTGAATGAACTTTGTGGGCTGCTGAGAAAAGAGTTATCTTTTTCCATAGGGTGCAGGTCTCTCCAGACAACACAAAGGCCCACCTCCTTCATGAGTATAGAGCTTTTGATTTATTGTTTTTGGATCTTATAATATATTGTTGAGTCTTTTATGTGATCTAGGACAGTGTTCCAGTCACCGTTCAGTATTTTTATGTGAACTGTAGAAAAAAAATTATGTAACCAAACTTTTTGAATTTTTTATGCTCTTCTCTAGACATACGAGTTTCTTGAATTAATATGACTTGTCCTTTATCCTTCTTTAACTTTGTTAATAATCTGCTTCTTTTTATGGGGTTACCCAGACCGTTCATATTTATTGACACAACTTTCAGTTTAGCCACACAATGGCGGAGTTGTCTGAGAACTTCTGCAGGTAAGTGAAGTCCGAAGTGTAGACGATGAAGAGAAACGGTGAGAGGACAGTGCCCTGAGGGGCCCCAGTACTGCAGACTACTACCTCAGACTCACAGCTGCGCAGCCGCACGTACTGTGGTCGGTCTGAGAGGTAGTCGATGGTTCATGCAGTGAGGTTACAGTCCACTCCTGCGTCCTCCATCTTCCCCCGTAGCAGTGCCGGCCAGATGGTGTTGAAAGCATTGGAGAAGTCCCAGCGCTCTAGGTGGGAGAGCGTCCGCTGCAGCAAGTAGATGTCAGCGTCCTCCACTCCGATGTTGGGCCTGTAGGCGATATGCAGCGGGTCCAGGGTGGGGCAGCAAATGTCTGGGCCTCATACTTGGAGCGATCAGCTAAAAGTCCAGCAAGACTAGCCTTCTCATGCACACTAAACGCACAATGTGTTATTATTATAATTGTATTAATTTTCGTATTAAATATTATTATTGCGTTTCTATTTCCAATTCTTAACAGTTTAAAGACATTGCAAAACGAATCAGTTAAAGTAATTTTTGACACTGAAATGTTTTATTCCAACCTAGAAAGACGACTTTGAAACATTGAAGAAAATGCAAAAGTACAAGACCGTGTAGATTTTACTTCCTGAATATAAAAATCATAAACTGAATCATAAACAATTGTTGAGAGCTCATGGAGTAGGACTGTCGGTTGGTCTCGAAGAGATTCTGGCAAACAGTCCAGCACCTCAGGATTTTTTTTTTTGTCTTGTTGAAATGGTTTACTCGTTCACTCTTAGTCCAGGCCAGGCTCAGTAATGGTTTGTCTCAGCAATACTGTGACTGTTTAATTATTTACATAATAAAACAGACAAATGCTGTTCAAAAGTGATAATTGAACCAGTTCAAATGTTAATTGTTAAAAGTGGAGCGATGATGTGCCTTCTCGTCCTTAAAATAAGTAAAATTTCTGCCTGCGACAAAAATGTATACATTTGAGTAGAGGAAATATGGTTCTAATTGAAGTATCGTATTCTCATTTTCTGGTGTGTAAAACGGCACAAGAAGAGGTGAGGGAATAACAGCAAAGGTCCTGAATGTGGTACCGTGCAAGTGAAAGCCAGACTGTGTTGGGACACCTCTGGGATCCCACTGTAATTGATAATTATAATAATTTTCCAATAAATCTGCCAATTTGGAAATCTCACAAGTTTGTTTTTTTTCTTTGAATTGTGGCAGAAACTTTCAATCTATTTAGTAAAATTTGAGGTCCTCCAACATCCCTCACACACTCAGTCAAGGACAGAGTACCTTAAACCTCCATCTGGTGACAACGACAAACTTGAGCGTGTGGTCCTTCCCCAGGATTTCCTCGTTGCATAAAATGTCGAGCTGAAGAAGACAGGAGCAATGACAGGTGAGACACTTACTTAATACGCTTCAAACACTCACCAACATCAGATATTCTACTTTGAGACTGAAGTGTGTTAATTAGAAGGGCAGTACCCAATTAGTCCAAAGCGTTATTTGTTTTAACAGCAGTCAGTCACTTTACAGCAGTCAGTCACTTTCTGTTAGAAATCTGACCTTTAAAAGAAAAAAAGAAAAAAAAACCTGAATTTATTATGTATTCATTCACAACCAACTAAATGTAAGAAACTTCCAAAAAGGACTTCTAAAATTAAAACCATAAATAACCATAATAGAAATAAAACCATGTAAGTAAATCTTTGTGAAGCTAGGCCACACATATGAACAGACACACACTAAATAATAATGTCTGGATTCACATTTCCACGAATTGGTTCACTGAACGTGAACTCTGGTTCAGATAAAGTGCACTATGGCACAAAGTCACTTATGTCCATTTGAAAAGGAGCCAAAATGAAAACAAATTAAGTATTTTGGATACTGATGCGAGTATCTGCGGCCTACACTGTGAGGGCTTGTACCTCGTTGAAGGAGGTGAGATTGAGTTTTTTGGCGATGAACTTCTTGAGGTGGAGCACAGTGGCCTGAGCCGAGCAGCGGATCCATTTCCTCTTCAGGCCGCGGAGTTTACTGCTGTTACACTCCAGACATATGCTCACCTGCAACGCACAGGCAATGGTCAGCTTGCACAGCCGCCCTAACAAATATGTATGGATCTATACACATTTAATGCTATTATATAACAGCTGCAATCTTTAACTGATCCATTGAAATGTAATTATCATATATCAATCTCTACAACTGTATGTTTGTGTACCACTAAAACCTAATCTAATCCATTGAAATGTAATTATTATATATCAATCTCTACACCTGTATGTTTGTGTACCACTAAAACCTAATCTAATAGGTAATAAAAGTAGAGCTGCACCGTTTTTATTGCATTGTTCAGTGTGCACAAACCAGTCCTTGAATATCATAATTTTGGACTGCTACATGAATCCCATTTCTATATGCCAAGAAAACGACGAAGTACCTGTGTTATTATGGAGACAATAAAATTGTATACAATTAACAATGAAGTGATCTCCTGAGTTCTGCTTTAAACTCAGGAGTGTGTAAATCGTTTAAATTGTAGTATTAGTAGTGTGTGGGGTTTGGACCTGCTCGTCACTGCGATGGTAGTCGTTATCCTCCTCAGCCTTCTCATCTGCGCTCTCCTTGTGTCCCGGCTCGTCACACTTAGCCTCGCCTGTGAGCAGACAGAACGTAGGTGACTACTGGTCCACAGAGGTTTGTGTGCGGGCCACTACAGCCATGAGCATAGCACTGCGCATCCGTCACAGAGACGCATTTTCCTCTTGAATAATAACAATAAAAATGACTCAGGCCATGGGTGCCCAACTCATTTTGGGTCGAAGGATTTTTTTAGACTGCACTTTTATACCACGGTTTCCATTGTTTACTTAACTTAACTTTGTTGATAGTTCATCTGTGGCATCTGTGTTATTGTCATTAAGATTTTGCATTTTGAAGGTGTTTTTACTAATAAAGATCTTTTTTATAATATACGTTTGGGCGACAGTAGCTCAGTTGGTAGAGCATTGGCCTTAAGGCCAGAAGGTCGTGGGTTCAATTCCCACCTCTGCACCTTCTCCACCAACTCCCACTGATGACTGCTGTCGTTGTGTCCTTGGGCAAGACACTTAACCCCACTTTGCCCAAAAGCCCCCACTGAAAGATCAAGGCTATGCTCTCACTCAGAGCAGCCGTCCTCCTGTGGACTCACCACCTGCAGAGGGTCAGTGTGGGGCTGGTGCTATGAGACTTGGGTGGCATCTCTGACTGCCACCCCCCTGACCCAGAAATGGATTAAAGGGTAGAAAATGGATGGATGGATGGATGGACGTTTGGATATTTTTTTCCTGGTAATTTTTTCTCAACAAAATTATTTAAAGAGTGACTAAACACCTGTGCCCAGCCTTACTCCGCCCACATGAACATTTGAAAATTTTCTCTAAAAAGGGCGTTGCCTGGAAGGAGGGCTTAGAGCTGGGCGTGGTCTGGGCTGTGATTGACAGCTCGCTTGTCACACAAAAAGACAGTTGTCATTGCTGTTTAATGCAAAAGTTTCCACACTAGAAGTCTCATTCCGTTGTTTACACACCAAGCTAATTGTAAAGCTACACACCTGAACCCAAGCTACAGAATTATCTCAGCAGTAGTGGCTGTCAACTCATGTAATTTAAAATTAATCCACTCAATGTCTCCAGAATACTCCAACCTGCTACTGGGGCGTGTGTGAGAGTTGGATGGGTTCATATCACTGGCGCAGAGAGACGCACGTCACACAGCACTCCAGAGCCAATGGAGAGGCCAGGACCAAAATTCAAACGTCGTGCCACCAAAAAGGTAGAGAGGGTGCCACACAGATGGTTTTAGGCTCAAAAGTGAGATTAGGCTCAAAAGTGAGATTTGCAATAAAATGTCAAAAAAATGGCCAGGACATGGAGAGCACTATAAGAAACATGTTTATGCAGTTTATGAGTTAGTTGTCCTTTAACTTCTTTTTGGATTGAACCAAAACTAGATCAAAATGTAAATTATTGTTTTTGTAGACTTGTGATCCATGCTTTGGGTTCAATATTTAGAGTTAATTAACTTATAGGGTGATTTTGGATACCACATGTATGTTTTGTGTACCAAACTAAAGGTTGTACCGTGGAACTAGGCGACCCGCACTGGGTCCTGTGCTCATCCACACCATAATCCAGGGGTTTCCGTGGTTACGCAGCCAAATAACAGTTTTACGCAGTTGTAGTACATATATCTGAGCTGTGCAGAATTAGTGGTGTGACGTACCGTTCCGCTGGTCCAGGTGTGTCTTCATGTTGCACAGCTCTCCTTTAATGTCCCCAGGAACCTCCATGCCCAGTTTCTGATAGAACTCCCTCTGCTTCTTTAACTCCGCTGCTCACAGACAAAAACAGCAGAGAAACTATTGGGAACATATTCAGAATGTTGTGGCCTGATTTGTACACATAATTATTAGTGTACATTTTTCCCTGTTCTGAATGCCCCTTGATTTGGTTTGACAAGGATGGCAAGTGAGGTGACATTCCACATCCCAACAGCCAGACGCTGTGTGCGTGGACTGGGTCGCCTAGGTCTCCGCCTGGGATGAGCATCAGCACCTCCAAATCGGAGGCCATGGTGCTCGACCGGAAAAAGGTGCCTTGCCCTCTCCAGGTGGGTGGAGCAGCCCTTCCTCAAGTGGAGGAGTTAAAGTATCTCGCTCACGAGTGAAGGAAGGATGGAGCGTGAGATTGACAGGCGGATTAGTGCAGCGTGCGCAGTGATGCGGTCGCTGTATCAGACCGTTGTGGTAAAGAGGGAGCTGAGGCGAAAGGCAAAGCTCTCGATTTACTGGTCAATCTTTGTTCCCTCCCTCACCTATGGTCATGAGCTTTGGATAATGATCAAAAGGACAAGATTGCGGATACAAGCGGTCGAAATGAGTTTCCGCCGCAGAGTGGCTGGGCGCTCCCTTAGAAATAGGGTGAGGAGCTCAGTCACACGGGAGGAGCTCTGAGTTGAGCCGCTGCTTCTCCACGTCAAGAGGAACCATTTCAGGTGGTTCGGGCGTCTGTTCCGGATGCCTCCTGGACGCCTTCCTGGGGAGGTGTTCTGTGCACGTCCCACCGGGATGAGGCCCCGGGGAAGACCCAGGACACACTGGAGGGACTATGTCTCTCAGCTGGCCTGGGAACACCTTGGGGTCCCCCCGGACCAGCGCAGGAAATGTGTGTGGATAGGGAAGTCTGGGCCTCTCTGCTTAGACTGCTGCCCCCGCAACCCGGCAACGGATGAAGTGGAAGAAAATGGAATGGAACAGAAAGGATGGCAAGATTTACTTTTAGAGCAACCAATGACCTGTATTCTAATTTAGATTTATGAGGGTGTTTCCCATTCACAATATCACATTTGGTTTCATGATGCAGATGTGATTCAGGATCAAGTAATGACCACGTTGTCTTTATTCACATTTCATTGTCAGGAAAGACAAATACTTAAATGATCAGTTTAGAAGAAGTATTGCAGATACACATAAATCTGTGTGTAATGTGGCTCATATACTAAATGTCACTTCTCAGAAACACTCACACCTCACTTAGTACTGCCCACTTTGACCGTGCATGCATTCTGTTCTTTTACCTGAGGATGCGCTATCAAAGAGACTATGAGGACAAACACATACATCTGACTGTTGATGCTGTATAGCAATAGCAGTCCTTTGGCATGTACTGTCCTTCTCCAGAGACGTTATAGCAACAGCAGCAGCGTCGGAGGCACTTTAGTGGCCGCGTTAATTGTGCGATAAAAACATTGAAGCTGTAAAAATGGGTTTGCGTTAACAGCGTTATTAACACGGTGAACAGTTCTAATGATTAGGCTTTCAAACGTATCATTCATTGAACAGTATACTTCGGTACCCCCACAAGATACAGTAAGATTAAACTAAATTACGTGTTTAAAGTTTTTTATGATGTGAGGCGTACGTGGGAGCATCCTTGGTCCCAGCGCTCTGGGACAAAGTCAAAGAAGATTCCCAAAGGGAAAGCCTAATGGTGCATTCAGACCGCAAACGCTCAAACGCTGAAGCCTCGCTCACCAGACGCGCATTCTCTGGTTTTCAGACGCAGAGGACTTCACACCAGAACGTCCTGACGCGAGCCGAAAGTACCGGAAGTAGCCGGCAGGCTCTGATGCTAACAGAGCTATGCTAGCGGCTTCTTGTGTACAGATCTTCTCCAATATGCAGCTTTGCAGCGTGACAGTAGTATGTGTTCACGGAGGTAAGCCATACATATTTTCATATTATTAAACGGTATTTCCGCATCGGCGAACACACTCGAAGCAGTTGCATAAGGTCACGGGAGCATGACAACGCATATTTTCACAAGCACAGAGTCCCCCATTGTCAACCCTTGTTTGAGTTCTGGTGAAGCCTGGTGTAGCTCCTGTTTTGGCCGTTTACGAGTATTTTCAGTCTGCTCGCTCAGTCCGCTAATGTCCCCGTGACCTCTATGATTGGTTGTCGCACGAACGTCCCAAGGAAAGGATGAGCAGAATCCATCTCCTGTGGTTGTCGATTTTTCGCTCCTACTCCTCCCCTTTGACTTTCCCCCCAAGTCCGTGCGTGTCTACTGAACAGTCCGTCCGTGCGTGCCGAGAGGTCCGTGCGCGTCGAGAGGTCCGTGCGTTGTGACGCTGCAACGCGCGTCACCATAGACTTTGCATTGAAACCCGACGCAACGCATGATCCGGTCTGAACGCGCCATAAGGGTTAGACCTGCGTTAGAGCATGGATGTGCGCACGGACTGCGCGGTAGAGGAGCTGCAGAGGCGCAGGAGCGGAAAATCTGGTCCAACATTGATTGGATTGTGTTATTCAAAGTCATGGCTAGAAGCTCACCCTCCTGTAGTCCCGGCACCAGCTTGTAGACGATGTCCTGCATTGTTCTGTCATGGCTGCACAGAAAACACATGATCAAACACGCACACCTGATTATTTTACTTGTTAATGGGTGCATAATAAGAGCACTACTACTTCCATTGAGTGATTTAAAAAAAGAGAGAGAGCGCCCTTGTACCCACACCAGCCTAGTACTGACCCGATATACTGCAGAGGGTGGCTCTGGTGGATCACAATGCGGCACGTGGGACATGTGTTGTTTTCCTCCAGGTACTTGACCAGGCAGCTGCGGCAAACTGGACAAACAAGGACATGTTAATCCCAAAATCAGGACCAGGGTCTAAGGGTCGGAAGGACCATAACCATAGGAGGGGGAGGGGGCACTGAGGGGGGTACATACAGGTGTGTAAGCACTCTGTGACCGTGGTGGCGTCGATCAGGTAGCCCTCACACAGGCGGCACGTAATGTGGGCATTTATGTGACACAGTTTGATCTTCCTGGTCAGCATGTCGGGGTTCTGCGGAGACAGGGGGATATTGTCAAATTGTTTAAAACCTAAAGAAGACATATTAGAACCATTTTCCAGAATGCGCCTGGGTTTAGATGTGAATCAGAATAAAAAAAACATTTACTAGTGCTTTGTAAACATTTAGAATCCGTCCAGCTAATACGCTATACAGTGTTTTGTGGGGGTGTACAAATCATAGGCAGTATATAGATGCTATACAATGCTAACCCACTACATCAATGAAGCCCAATAGGGAAGTGCTCATGGAGAAAATTTTGCTCAATCTTGCTCTGGCACCGATTGACTTGCATGTAAAACTAAACTCCACTAACTCAGTAAGCCCTTGTGTGTCACACTCACCATTTCGGGCTTAAAAAAAATCTGGTCATATAAGGATTGACCAGATTCCTTAATTTGCGGGGAAACTCCAGTTTTCCTTAGCAACTGTTCTAGCAACACGTCTGCCCCTGTTACAGACGTGTTGTGGCAGTCTATAACAACATAAGCTAGTTGGTTCCAACTAGCTTATGTTCAAACCAGCTTCTTCTGCCTTCGGGAATATCAGCGCAATATCAATCAGTCCACTCCTAGCATATGCTCAAAAGGAACTCCAGGCCCTTTTTTGATGAGGAACATAGTTGCATCTTAATTGAATAAAAGAACATAGTGGACACTTGCCATTTTAAGACTACTATATAGAGTTCAATAATATATGGCACAGTATATTTTAACATTACTTTCTATTACTCCATATATTGCTGAGCGGGCCTTACCCCGAGCACCGCCATGCGTGGGCTGTGGGGGGCAGCAGCGGTCCAGGATCCCGGTTCAGCTGCACATCCTCAAGAGCCTCTCATGCGGACACACCACTCACTCGCGCAGGCACACACACGTCCGCCAAGTCCTGCCACTGTCCTAAAACCACAAAGAAGATTAATTTTACACAATGAGAAGTATGCAAAACGGAGGGCAACTAATGACTTTTTGGATACGACGATGCTGAAGCCGTGAGAATGTCTCCATAGAGATTTTAAAGCTGTGGTACGCTTACAACATTCAAACTACAAAAACAGGAACTTATTCTAGTAATAATCCAACAAACTGACTCACAGGGCTGTGTAAGTTTCCCCCATCACTAAAAACATGTAAAATAAGTAAAATCCACAAGCTCTGGAGATGGGTTTCAGGTACTCCACTACATTGACCCTTGCTCCTGACCGAGGCCCTAGCAAAGAAAGATGGGTCAATGCAGAGGTCAAAATTCCTTAAGAGTTGTTAAGAAATAGAACATAAGAGTATAGGATGTTTGATTCAAATTAACATGTTTTCTACCGAACCTAAATCCATAATCAGATCCTCTTCAAATGTGTCCTAAAATGTTCGTTTCATGTTACTTCCTGGTTTATCGCCATCGCTTTTTATCACATTAAAACAGTATTTTTGTCATGAAAACGTTAAATAATTCTGAAAACCTGGATGTGTATGTGTATTGTATTCTCCGATTAACATTTAAAAGGTGTTTATTGATTGATATGTATTTGTTTATTGAGCGTGGCTAGCTTCTCTGCACAGAGAGTAGTGACAGGCGCTGAAAGCTCGTTGTACTTGCGGAGTAATGTTAGTATTTTACACACCTGAATTACAAACAGATTGGGTTGCCAAAGGGCAGCGGTCATTATTGGTTTGAGAGTTCTGTTATCAAGAAAAAATTATTGGTAGAACGTTTTGAAATTACATTCAAGTCACTGGAGTGTTCTACTGCTGCTGTGAAGAGCTGTATAATAAATTATAATTAAATATTCTAATATATTCTAATGTTTAAATTAATACATTCGGACACAAAACTAACGGTATTCTTTTACTTACTGTATATACTTTGTTAGAGCGTTACTTTTGTACCATTTCATCAGTGATTGTTGTACAGCTTACAAGAAGTTGCGCTAATGCTGATGCTAGCATACGTATCAGATCGCACATTAATCTAGATGGCTCCGTGGGATGAGAGCGTAGGGGAAATGGAAGACCTGTGAGCGAGTTGGGGGGCGGTGCTAAACATTCAAACCTTGCAGAAACGGATAACCTTAGTTATAACGTCTCATGTCTCTTCACACCATTACCGCACTAATTCAGGACTAGAAACAGATAAACCAAGGGCATGTTCAGGCTTGTTGGTCTAGTTAATTTAACTGGACGGAGTCTGGTTCACTTGGGGTAAACGCTGAAGTTTATATACACGTGTGACCACTGACCCAGTGTATATAGGGTTGTGTACTATTCTATTACTACTCCTTGGTCAGTGTGTCCCTTTCAGATTAGTTGGATTCATTGATTCATTATTACTGCCCAAATTTATGTTTCAACTGTCAGCTAACAACTTTTCTCCATAATGATCTTTGAGCGGACATTACAGATCAGTGCATCTTAGAACACATCAGTTCCTCAATAGTCTTAACACATTTTCTAAACATTTCTCCCTGCACATGAAAGCCAGATCCTGTCAGACCTGTGAAGCAAAGTAGGGCAGGGGCTGGTTAGTACCGTTATGGAAGACCTCTGGGAACACCAGGTTCCCAAAGGCAGCTGCGGCTGTAAAGTGCCAAACTACAATTGTGTCCTTAGCCAAGTCACGTACACTATACACATTCTAGGAAATGGTCGATGGCACTTACTAGTTGCCTCACTTCTGTCGGTGTACCCCAGGGCAGCTGTGGCTACAAAAGTATATTATCACCACCGTGTATGGAGTGAAAGAATAAAACATGTGAATCATCTCTAAGTGTCAAAAAAGAGCAATAAAAAAGATAAAGGAAAATGCATTCATTTTCTCACAAATTGACAACTGACTCAAGGGTAAGATATCAAGCGTTTGGTTACTTAATTCCTCGCAGTGTAAAGACACTTTGTTTATCCTCCACTGTATAATGATGTACACCCAATGACGACCATGCCCATTCGGGACATTAACCAGAACAGGGGTCCCCAAACGGTGGACCGCGGTCCAGGTCCAGAGACCCTTTTCTCTGGACCTCCGCAGTTTTTTTGTCCAAAAGTACATTATTACAATTATGTGTCAAATTTTCACCAAAAGTGATTTGTAAACAGGCAGGCGCGAGGGCGGCTATGTGGAGAGCGGGTCCTTCGGAACAAAACTATACGGAGCTATCAAAATAACTTTAGCAGTGTCTGAATCCAAGTGAGAGTCAGAGACGTGAAAGAAACGGGAATGAGCGCTGTGTACGGAGCGGTGGACGCTCGCGTTCAGCTGCTCACACTGGCTGTGTATGAGCGGAGGAAGAGGATGATGAGGAGGACCAGTGTCTCCTGTGTGAGCGCGGAGAAGGAGGAGGAGCGAGACAGGGGTACACATTAAAAACATTAAAAGCATTAGCAAACAGCATATGCTGTTTCATTCTGTCCTGGTCCTATACAGAATGGACGGTTAAAGCAGTATAGTTGCTTACTGTAAACTTTATTAACTCCAGTGCACTGTTAACAGCCCCGCATCCCAGGGTAAGTGTCACACCTTAATTCGTCCCCCCAGGTACAAAACCTGTCAACATGGGTCCTCATAACATACACATGTAACATCCTTTCTCTTTTTTTTTTTTTTTAACAATGTACAATTCCATTCCTATTATAGAAAACATACATACACACGTGCAAAGAAAGAGAAAAAAAAATGCTTCCAGTAGCTGTTGAATCAAAAGAAAAAAAACCGTATCACAGCCTTGCCTAAAGTGCATATAATAATCTCCCATAACTGCACCAATAACAAAATTGTAAGTGAACATCACTGTGTGTAATCATTCAAATAGACAGGTCTATTCACCCTACGACCTGACCTAGTAATAGGGGTAGTAACATTAGCTTCAGACATTACAACAGTTGGTGTAGCACTCGCTGTCACAATATGAGAAGGTGGAGTAGACGGACAGTAGTTGTGTCTGAGATGGCGTCTGTTTCTTCTCAGTACACTACCCGACTCTAGCTCAACCTCATAAGATCTATGGCTAGCAGGTTTAACCACTTTAGCAACCTTCCACGTCTTGCATGGCTCAAAAGGCTGAACACGAACACTTTCCCCAACTTTGAACGTGTCCAAGTCCCTCGCCGTGCGGTTATAGTATCTTTCCTGTCTCAGCCTGTTGTAGATCAGTCCCTGTTTATCGTTAGTCACTTTCGGCTCCAGCAGTGTCTCTTTAGTAGGAAGAAGGGTCCGGGTCCTCCTACTCAGAAGTCGCTGCGCCGGGCTTGTGTCGAGACCCTGGCTTGGCGTGTTACGATGGTCCAGCATCGCCAAGTATGGATCTTGCCCTGCCGCTGCTGCTTTCTGCATAAGGCGCTTTGCAGTTTTAACAGCTGATTCAGCCTTCCCGTTGCTTTGTGGGTATCCAGGTGATGACGTCCTGTGCTCGAATTCCCACTTCTGACTGAATGTCCTAAACTCCTGTGACGTATACTGTGGTCCGTTATCTGACACCAGAATATCTGGCGACCCCTGACGAGCAAAGTGTGCTTTCAATTTGCGAATCACTGTGGAACTTTTAGTGTCTGGGAGATAATCGACTTCCCAGAAGTTCGAGAAATAATCCACTGTCACCATATAGTCCTTGTTATGCCAAGAAAACAGATCAGTCCCTACCTTGGCCCAGGGTCTAAAGGAAATGTCATGGGGTTGCAAAGTCTCTTTCTGTTGTTTTGTGTCAACAGACCTGCAGATGTCACATTTTGCTATATGAGTCTTAATCTGCTCTGTCATTCCTTGCCAGTACACACACTCACGTGCTCGTCTGAGACATCCTTCAACTCCCAGATGTGAAGAGTGTATACGTCGGGTAAGATCGGCTCTCAGTGTGTCAGGGATAACTGCTCTTTCTCCCCTGAATACAATTCCATCTTGAAAACTCAGCTCTTCCTGAAAAGCAAAATAGTGCTGAATATCCAAGTCAATGTCTCTTTTGTTCTTTGGCCAACCTGTGAGTATCAGTCGTTTCACTTTCTGCAACTTTAAATCCTCCTTTGTTGCATCCCGGATGGACGAAAGTCTCTCTGATGAAATGGGCAAATATGTTATCATGTTCACAGTCTCTAACTCTGACTCCGTGTCTCCCTGATTAGTGTCCGGTAAGTATGCTCGGCTAAGTGTGTCAGCTAGAAGCATGTCTCGTCCTGGAACATAGATCACATTAATGTCATATTTCTGCAGTCTTAACAACATCCTCTGTAATCTCTTTGGTGCACTAAGTAGCGGCTTTCGTACAATATTCTCAAGTGGTTTGTGGTCACTCTGTACAGTCACTCTCCTACCATAAGTATACTGGTGGAATTTTTCCATACCAAATACAATGGCTAAACATTCCTTTTCTATTTGGGCATAACCCCTCTCTGTAGGAGTCAGCGCTCGGCTGGCAAAGGCCACAGGTTTACCCTTCTGAGTCAGTGCAGCCCCCAGTCCTGTCTCTGAAGCATCACATTGCAATGTGAGCTCCTCACTCTGGTTGTAATACTTAAGTAGTGGTGCATTTGATATTTTTTCCTTCAGTCTCTTCAGTGCATTCTCATGTACTTCAGTCCACTCCCACATATTGTCCCTGTGCGTTAACTGTCGCAAAACCTCACAGTCCTCTGAAAGGTGGTCACAAAATTTTGACAAGTAGTTCAACATGCCTACAAGTCTCTGTACCCCCTTAACATCTGTGGGCCTGGGCAACTCTCTTATAGCACGCACCTTCTCTGGGTCAATCCTGAGACCCTCTGCGGTCAGTAAATGTCCAATGTAAGGTACCGACTGCTTCCTCAACTTAAATTTGTCCACATTCAACTTAATGTCTTTCTGTCTACATCTCTGTAGGAAACGTCGCAAGTTCTCATTGTGATTCTCATTGGCCTTATCCTGCGTCACTCCCTCACCGGTCACCAACACATCATCAGCAATGACATATACCCCCGGCAAGCCCTCCAGTGCCTGCATGAGTTTCCGTTGGAACACTTCTGGGGCTGGACTGATACCCATTGGCATTCTGAGCCAACGGTACCGGCCAAATGGGGTAGCAAAGGTGGTGAGGTAGCTCGACTCATCGTCCAATTTGACGTGCCAAAAGCCATGTTTCACATCACAAACTGTGAATACCTGGGCATTCGACAACTCCGGCAAAATGTCATCAATGGTGGGGAGAGGGAAATGGCTCCTCTTCAACGCTTTGTTCAGTGGCTTGGGGTCGATGCAGATCCTCGGTTTTCCATTTGGTTTTGTCACAGAGACCATGCTGCTGATCCAGTCTGTGCTGCGTTCTACTGGGGCAATTATTCCTTTCGCTTCCAGTTCTTTCAGTTCTTCTTTTAGCGGTGCCATCATCGCTACAGGCACTCTGCGTTTGGGCAACTTTACCGGTGGTACACTGTTGTCGATTTCGATCTTGTACTCGCCCTCTAAGCAGCCTATACCCGTGAAAACATCTCCAAACTCAGTTTTTATTTTGTCCATATTCAGTTGTTCCTCATTGTTCTGTTCGGTTTTCTCTGAGCATTCCTTTTTTACAATGCTATCTATAGCCAAGATGTTCTCATACTGAACTTTGATCAGGCTCATTGCCTCACTAGCTTTCCTGCCTAGTAAGGGGATCCTGTCCTCCTGATCAACCACTTGAAACTCCAGTCTGTACAATTTTTCATTTCTTGGATTTCGCAGTTTGACTCTGCATTTTCCTAGTGGTTTTAATCTGCTCTTGTTGTACATGACTAAGACCTTCTCTGTCTTTTCAAGCTGCGTGTCTGGATTCAACCTCTGTACTGGGATAACGTTGCAAGTAGCACCACAGTCTATCTGAAAGTTAACAAGCTTCTTGTCTAGTAGCATACCCGCAAAGAGCTGCTGGCTCTTACTGTGTGCCTCTTTCACTTGGTTTACATTCTCCTGATTATCACACACTTCTGTTATTGTCATAATGTCCTCACATGAATCACTGGACTCTGAAACTGCATTTATTTGTCTGCTTTTCTTGTATTTGTCTTGTCTTGACTTGCATTTCACGGCGAAATGGTTCTCCTTTCCACATTTCTTGCACTTTTTCCCAAAAGCCGGACATTTTCGTTTATTCTTTTCATGTGTGTTCCCACAAAAGTTGCAGCAGATCTCTTCCTTTATGTCCTTTCTTGGACCATATTTCAATGCATTATTTCTTCCAGTGTTCTGCCTTGTATGGTTTTACTGTTCTCCTTAGACAGTTCGGATGCTCTGCATATTTGTACACATTTGTCCAGTGTTAAGTCTCCTTCCCTTAACAGTCTTTCCCTCATAGCAGAGCTGTTCGTACCACAAACTATGCGGTCTCTTATTAGTGAGTCTTTAATATTTCCGAAGTTGCACGTGCTGGCCAAAACTCTCAAATCTGTGACATACTTGTCAATATTCTCATCTTGTGTTTGGTTTCTGACAAAAAACTTGTATCTCTCAACTGTCTCATTCAGTTTTGGATTACAATGTTCATCAATAAGCGCAATCATCGAACTTACGGTCCTTCTTGCACTCGCGGAGGCTCCACTGCCTGATAACGTATTCAAAAGCTCCCTTCCTCTCTCTCCGAGGAGGTAGACAAACAACTTGACTTTCGTTGTCTCCTCTGCATCAGGCATGGTGAGGTCCGTATACAACGTGAACTCTTCTCTCCAACTCTTCCATGTCTTTGCTAGATTGGTAGAGTCCATACAAAGTGTCGGTGGTGGTCTTAACCCCTCCATGGCGAAGTCCGCGGCTCTTCTTGGCTCGTTCTTCACCTCCGCAGTCGACATCACACGACGACTTCACCTCGTGCGCACTCGGGCTAGGCTAACAGCTGCAAACCAGCAGTACTTTCACTCACGGCACAATTCCTCTACTGGGAATAACACCCGCTGCCACCATGTTTCATTCTGTCCTGGTCCTATACAGAATGGACGGTTAAAGCAGTATAGTTGCTTACTGTAAACTTTATTAACTCCAGTGCACTGTTAACAGCCCCGCATCCCAGGGTAAGTGTCACACCTTAATTCGTCCCCCCAGGTACAAAACCTGTCAACATGGGTCCTCATAACATACACATGTAACATATGCCCTACTTTAGTGCTCACTGTGTGCGCAGTGGGCATAAAAAGCATGTTGTGGTCAGAGTGTGTGGAGGAGGAGGAGGAGGTCAGAGTGTGTGGAGGAGGAGGAGGTCAGAGTGTGTGGAGGAGGACGAGGTCAGAGTGTGTGGAGGAGGAGGAGGTCAGAGTGTGTGGAGGAGGACGAGGTCAGAGTGTGTGGAGGAGGAGGAGGTCAGAGTGTGTGGAGGAGGAGGAGGTCAGAGTGTGTGTAGGAGGAGGTCAGAGTGTGTGGAGGAGGAGGAGGTCAGAGTGTATGGAGGAGGAGGTCAGAGTGTATGGAGGAGGAGGTCAGAGTGTATGGAGGAGGAGGTCAGAGTGTATGGAGGAGGAGGAGGTCAGAGTGTGTGGAGGAGGAGGAGGTCAGAGTGTGTGGAGGAGGAGGTCAGTGTGTGGAGGCGATCACAGAAACATTATTTGATAGAAAGAAGCACTTCAACAAAAAAGATCCCCTCATCCTCCACAATTATCATGTGTTGCACCCTCTGCTCAGAGTTTGGGAGAAGTTTGTGGTGTAGAAAAAATAGATTAAAGTGATAGTCTATCTCTAAATGAATTACAAATTTTAGGAAATGTGTTAAATTGACCTCCTGGCCTTAAATGTTGATATAAAATATGTCATTTTATTAATTCTAATATCACGGGCAAGTCCCGCCTCCCCTTCTCTTAGCTATAGCTCAGAATCCACAATGCCGTCCACGTTAACCAATCGAGTCATGCCAAGGGCTGTCAATCATCGTCAGAAAGGAAATCAAGCACCTCTCTGTCTCTGACAAACTCCAGACAATCACTTTAATGTTATGTGTGAATTATATACACCTATATTTAGATTTTTTTTTCAAATTGTTCTTACTAGTGTAATCGCCGTTGTTTAAGGTTTACAAATCATTTCATATGAAAGAAAAAGCTTGAATGGATTTCTTTGACATAAAATATGTCCGGTGTCCGGACCCTGATCTATTGAACTGATCAAGTAAGTGGACCTTGCGCCGATTTAATTGGGGACCGCTGAACCAGAATGTGCAACGGCCTCTCCACCACCACCAACCAATTTATGCACACACCAGACTCATTCAAGGCAATGAGAGTTCAAAGGAATATAAGAGGTTTTCCTTCCTATGTGTGGATTGGGGCTGCACGATATATTGAAAAAATATTGTTATCGCAATATTGGTGCGTGTAATATCCATATCGAAAATAAAATATACGTGATATATATACAGTACAGACCAAAAGTTTGGACACACCTTCTCATTCAAAGAGTTTTCATGATTATGAAAATTGTAGATTCACACTGAGGGCCTCAAAACTATGAATCAACTCATGTGGAATTATGTACGTTTAAAAAAAAAAAAGGATGAAACAACTGAAAATAGGTCTTTTTTTCAAAGTAGCACCTTTTGCTCTGATTACTGCTTCGCACACTCTTGGCATTCTCTTGATGAGCTTCAAGAGGTAGTGACCTGAAATGGTCTTCCAACTATCTTGAAGGAGTTCCTAGAGATGCTGAGCACTTGTTGGCCCTTTCGCCTTCACTCTGTGGTCCAGCTCACACCAAAACCATCTGAATTGGGTTCAGGTCCGGTGACTGTGGAGACCAGGTCATCTGGCCCAGCACCCACCACTCTCCTTATTGGTCAAATAGCCCTTACACAGCCTGGGTGTGAATCTACAGTCAATAGTCATGAAAAGAAAGGAAACTCATTGAATGAGATAGTGTGTCCAAACTTTTGGTCTGTACTGTATATATATATTTGTTTTCCTTTATTAAAAAGACAACAAAAAGACAGACACATCAACATTCAACAAGAACAACAAACAAACAAGTACATAAATATATGCATTTGAATGTCATTAATGTTGTGCTTATTTTTTGTTATGTGTCGCTTTCAATGCAGATAATTGGCGTTTTAGATGAATACTGCGTATGTTTGACCTGAAAAGAAAACGGCACACATGTTGACGCATCGTTTTGTTGAGAATGACAAGTTCATACCATGGATCTATTATAATAACGGCTCATACACCAATTGTTACTTACACGGCTCTTATTGATGCAGGATTTGTCGGTCAGGACCTTAACTCCGAGCTCCTTAACCCACCCACAGAAAAAAAAGTTGTAGGCATCTATGCTTTTCCAAGCCTTCATTTGTTTAGCAGTGCAAAAGCTTGATTGTAACACTAGATAGTTTGATATATCCGGGAACTGAACTGGCGGGTATTTTTCTAACTCGCAAGTCAAACCATTCTTGGACAATGCATTAGGATCTATACCATAACAGAATTTGACTTTTTCGATGTTTCAATTGAGAAAGTGAAGAAAATGACAGTCTAGGATTGTGTAGATAACCAAAGCATGTAGTGGAAAAATACTCCCTTGTGCATTGTTAGAATGATGAGTTATAACTTTAACCACAGTGGCTTCAAAGTGTCATGAAGTATCCAAAAAAAGCACGAAAATACTTGAAAGAAGAGTCACATTTTCGTACCATATCAGCAGCCATTTTTGTTGGCCTGACCACCACTTAATTAACCGGAAGTTGATGCGTCACGTGACTGCAAGCCAAGAATGCATTTTCCATCACTGTATTTCCTGTGAGCTAAGTAAGTAACTAATCTTTATTTATACATCGCCTTTCACAGACCAGAGTCACAAAGCGGTTTACAATTGTTATTTTCGGGCATTTGTCCCCTCGCTCCACACAGAGATGGGAGCGGGGTCGCCAGTACAGGAGGCGCATGCCAGACCTATTGTACATAGCTGTTGGGGTGGTGGGGATATTCATCAGTAAAATATTATCAATTACACAAGACTAACAGTTTGAACTTGGTGAGGATTTAAAAAAAAAATGGTTTGTACAATAGGCTTACATTTTTATATGAAATAATAATTTACTTCAATAATCTTTAAGATAATCTTTTTGAAACAGAAAAGTGAACAAGAGTGGACTCAACCAATCACTCAGCCAATCAGCTCTCAGCGGAAAGTGTCAATCGGTACACATAAAAATGAAAGAATAAAAGGATGAAGACAAGACATTGTAGTCCGATTTGATCTGATTTTACAGACTGAAACATTTGTTTTGTGAGACAAATGTGAGGTTATCCCATTTTAAATTGTACTTTAAGTCTTTTAAGTTGAGCAACTTTCATCCGTAACTGTGGTGAGATACCAAAACTGTAGCCACTACTGCCCCAACCACTTTAATTTGCCACTCTAGGCACAAGGAGTGAAGTGTCTTGACTGAGGACTATGTCCCAAACTTAATTTAAAGTCTCACATGCGAGCGTCACAGGTCGCTGCTGCTATGATGAGTGGGAATGTCACAAATGTGGGAATTAGGGATGTAAATCGGCGACCGTTTAACCGGTGGTTGACCGTCACAGCGTTAACCGGTCAAAGCTGTCGGTTAAAAAAGAGAAAAAGGGGAGAGGGGAGGTCTCTTAAAGAAGCTATACCCGATTTTTTTTCTAAGTAGTTCATAAAAATGCTTTTTACTACATACAAGTTGTATCATAATACATATTTTAATTGAAAACTTGAGGTCATTGATTCCACTGTGTATGAAATTCAAGCAGTGAAAAGTGCTGAGTAGAGTCTGAGCGGGCCGCTCGTTCTCCTCCGCTCACAGAACGAGCAGCGAACAGCCTGCGTCCTCTAGCCTCTACAGCGCTGCTTAACACCAGGGCTTCGACTTCAAAATTCGAATATAATTCTAAAATAAAAATATATACATATTTGAACAAATATTAGACAACCCTTATAATTAGAAATGTATTTAATGACTGCGAATAAAATAGTTAGCTCCCAAAGGTTTCACCGGGACGTGCTAGGCAGGTAACAGCTAAGCTAGCTAGCTGTTTCATGGTAACTTCCGGGTTTTTCGCGATCGCTTTTTGTCACTTTAAAACAGTATTTTTGTCATGAAAACGTTGACAGCAAATTCTGAAATCATCCGTGCATGTGTGTTAAGGATGTATATGTATACTGTATTGTCCGATTGACGTTTAATGGTGTTGATTGATAGATATGTAGTTGTTTATTGAGCGTGGCTAGCTCCGCTAGCTTCTCTACACAGACAAGTGTGCAGAAAAACTGCACAATGTAGTGACAGGCGCTGATAGCTTGTTGTACTTGCAAAGTAATGGCAGTATTGTACACACCTGAATTACAAACAGAGATTGCATTGGGGCTGCGGTCATTATTGGTTTGAGAGTTCTGTTATCAAGAAAAAATGATCGGAAGAATTGCATTCAAGTCAATGGAGTGTTAGCTGCTGTGAGGAGCTGTATAATAAATTATAATTAAATATTAGAATATATTCTAATGTTTAAATTAATACATCCGGACGCGAAACTAATGGTATTCTTTTACTTATATATTGTGTTAGCAGTGCATTGCTTTTGTACCATTTCATCAGTGATTGTTGCACAGCTTACAAGTTGCGCTAATGCTAATGTTAGCATACGTATCAGATCGCAAATAAAACTAGGTGGCTCCGTGTTATGAGAGCGTAGGGGAAATGAGAAGCCTGTGAGCGAGTTGGGGGGCGGTGCTAAACATTCAAACATTGTAGAAACGGGTATAGCGCCTTTAACCGGTCAAAGCTGTCGGTTAAAAAAGAGAAAAGGGGAGGTCTCTTAATAACGCTATTTTAAGCCCTATTTGCACGGTGTGACGAGCGGGTCTGTATCTAGCTGTGTGCGCCCATGTATTATAAACTCCGGGCCCGAACCACATATGCACACACGCACGCGCGCACACACACACACACACACTTTCCCCCTCTCCATACGTAACATCCACACGCATCATCTCTCCCCTCTGTTACCGTCAAAGTTGCACACTGGCGCGGGTCAGAACTACATTGGAGCTTACATTTACACACACACACACACACACACACACATACACACACACATACACACACACACACATACCGGTCTGTTGCGCTCCTCTGTGTCACGGAGCCCAAAGGATTCGCGCAAATACGCGGCCTCAGTCAAACCACATGGATCAGCTCCACACACATCACTTGTATTTAAACTTTTGTGAAGACCTGTGAGACGCGGCTCGTCACTTGCTGCTCTGACCATGTGAACGAGCCGTCGTTTGCTGCTAGAAAGTTTTGGTATTAACCCGCAGCACAGCAGAATGGGAAGATTAAAAAAGCAGTTCTCTGTGCGCAAAGGTGCCGGAGCTGTTGCGGGTTTGGGTGCCGCTGTCTCAACTCTGATCCAGTAGAACGCAGAGCTGCACTTATGAAAAGTACGCGGCTCGAAATGGCTGTTATTTCAAAGAACGTGGACTATTTTAAACTACGCGGTTAACCGGTTTCAACCGGTTAATGAGGCTCGGTGGTCGGTCATGAAAATTCATAGATTTTTACATCCCTAGTGGGAATGCATAAAAAGTATCTATAATCTATAAAATCCTTCAGCTGTATGCGCAGCTAAACAGAACAGTTTTTAACCTTGATTTGAAAACTGCCAGAGTAGATGCTAGCCTCACATCTTCAGGAAGATTGTTCCTGATTTTAGCTGCATAAATCTGAAACGCTGCCTCTCCACGTCTATTTCTGACTCTTGGAACCAGCAAGAGGCTACCTCCTGTGCTCCTCAGAGTCAGGGCCGGTTCATATGGCACTAACATGTCGCATAAGTACTTTGGAGCGAGGCCATGGAGAGACTTGTACACAAGCAGTGCTGCCTTGAAGTATATTCTCTGAGCCACAGGAAGCCAGTGCAGAGACCTGAGAACTGGTCTAATGTGGTCGTACTTCCTCACAGCCTTCACAGAAGCGATGGTGTCCAGAACATTTAAAACGTTAGAGGTGACAGAGTTAAACAATTCTTCAACAGTAGAACACAATGTGTTCTCAAAGTTTATCATTCCCATGAATAATTTGGTTGTGTTTTCATTTATGTGTCGTTTTCTGACAATTGCAGATTCAGATTCAAATGGGGGTTTACTATCAAAACACATGTACATACATTGATACAGAGACAATAAACTACGTAAGAAACAACAGGTGCAATTACAAAAATAATAAGTAAATCCATCCATTCATCCATTTTCTTCCCCTTAATCCATTTCTGGGTCGGGGGGGGTGGCAGTCAGAGTTGCACCCAGTACCATCCCCTAAGTAAGTAAGTAAATCATTAAAAGTCAATAGCTGACACAAGTAAACAGAATCACCCAATTTTTTGTGACTGAAATAATAAGTTAATCATTCAGTGACTTATTAAGAAAATACCAACTACCTTCTCACTATTGCAATGCATTGCATCATTGTAGACATCATTGAGGGGGTCCGGTTCGGAGACCACAGGATTTCATCTCTGCTGTTTGCGGACGATGTTGTCCTGTTGGCTCCAACGAACCAGGACCTGCAGCATGCACTGGGGCGGTTTGCAGCCAAGTGTGAAGCGGCTGGGATGAGGATCAGCACCTCCAAATCCGAGGCCATGGTGCTCGACCGGAAAAAGGTGCCTTGCCCTCTGCAGGTGGGTGGAGAGGTCCTTCCTCAAGTGGAGGAGTTCAAGTATCTCGGGGTCTTGTTCACGAGTGAGGGAAGAATGGAGCGTGAGATTGACAGGCGGATCGGTGCAGCGTGCGCAGTTATGCGGTCGCTGTATTGGACCGTTGTGGTGAAGAGGGAGCTGAGCCGAAAGGCAAAGCTCTCGATTTACCGGTCAATCTTCGTTCCCTCCCTCACCTATGGTCATGAGCTTTGGGTAATGACCGAAAGAACGAGATCGCGGATACAAGCGGTCGAAATGAGCTTCCTCCGCAGAGTGGCTGGGCGCTCCCTTAGAGATAGGGTGAGGAGCTCAGTCACACGGGAGGAGCTTGGAGTAGAGCCGCTGCTTCTCCACGTCGAGAGGAACCAGTTGAGGTGGCTCGGGCATCTGTTCCGGATGCCTCCTGGACGCCTCCCTGGGGAGGTGTTCCGGGCACGTCCCACCGGGAGGAGGCCCCGCGGAAGACCTAGGACACGCTGGAGGGACTATGTCTCTCAGCTGGCCTGGGAACGCCTTGGGGTCCCCCCGGATGAGCTGGAGGAAGTGTGTGTGGATAGGGAAGTCTGGGCGTCTCTGCTTAGACTGCTGCCCCCGCGACCCGGCAACGGATAAAGCGGAAGAAAATGGATGGATGGATGGATCATTGTAGACAACTCATAGAATCATGGCATTGCCTTCTGTGATTGAATAAGGTCATACACAACATACAATGCTGCTTCTCAGTAATAGCAGTTTTGAGGTTTGCTTATGGGATGTTTGGTTTTATCGCCGATTTAATCCAGTCAAATCAAATTCACATGATTGGGTAGCTGAAACGAGCAAATACTAAAGAATATATTTTAAAAACTTAAAAACAGAAAGCCCAAAAGTGTATTTATGTCAATTAAACGGATAACGTCTGCAGTTAAAGGTTTTCCCCTCACATTTCTGCTCCTGCAGATGCTCATAATGGACTTCCTCCTATTAATACATGGCAAATCTGATCATGATTATAAGAAAGATTTGCAACTAGAAAGTCTGTGACCGGTCTCATATTCATTTAAGGTTTGTACATTTGTCTTTTGGTTGAAATTTCAGGATGAGCATTAAAGGGCCCATATTATGCTTTTTGACTTTTCTCTGCTTTAAACATGATAACAGTGCTTTTTGGCCTCATAGACATGCCCAGAGTAGATTTTTCATTGATTGTGTAAATTTTTAGTTAGAGAGCGTTCTGTCTTCTTCACCCTCGAGAGACAGTGAAACGTCCGGGTCTACATCTGTGACGATAACCACTCTGATGACGAATATGACGGCCATAACCCTGTTAGCTTTGTAATTAAAATGGTTTTTACAGAGTAAACAATACACAATAAGTATGCTGTTTGTTGTCAAAAAATAAATAAAAATAATAGTAAAAGCTAGGAGCTGATTGACAGATCGAAACAGCAAATCAGAGCGCGTAGCCAGTCTAGAGTATGTCTGTGGTTTGATCCCACATGGAGCTACTGTTTTTCTGCTTTTGTCAGCAACTAAAAGTGTTAGGATCACGTAAACTTGGATAAAATATGTTTTGGGTGTAAATATGTGACGCACTCTTTGGCCCGAAGAGGAAGAAAGCGGCTTGACTTTGAATCTGTTCATCTGCGACACTTCACAGACACTGTTCCAGAACTACAGGGACAATGGAACTGGATACATGTGTTATTCCTACGATAAAAGACGTAACACGGACCCCCCGATCTGTAAGTACAGTGATGCTATACTACTCTGCCGTATACTTGTGTAAACTAAATAATTAGGGTCTGATTGTGCATCGAGGACATAGGGCTCAATATTATGGATTGTCATTGTTGGAAAAAATTTATTCTCATGTCTGAAATGACTATGTACCGGTGATAAACAACTCAAAGCATGATGCCCACCGTGCGGGCGGGGGGAGGCGGGCTCACAGACAGAGAAGCAGACTTCTCTCTGAATCAACCTGTTTTGAGTTGAGGTGACGTCACCTCTATACAAGAGATGGCTATAATCTCACAAGTTGAGTGTTGTATGGTGTATCACTCAAATTATTATCACACATGTGCATAGGATTGACTGTGAAACATGAAGAAAAGTAATATGGGACCTTTAAATGCAACCTGGTCAACCTGAGTCTCAACATCTCAGCACTCCCAACATGGCAAGGTTTCATTATTTTTTGCACAGCCGCAGTTCTCAAGAGCAGCAAAATAGACATAATTAAAACCAAATCCTGCACCACACAGACTCAGTCCTAACAGCCTGAGTCCTGTATCTACACCCTGTCCGTTCGTGCGAGCAGATCCCCTACTCAAAGTGGGCTTACCTAAAGTTTCTCTTTTTTGCACTGCTTTCTTTTTTTAGTGGTTCCTTGTCATTGCAGGAGAGTCTAAAGACAGTGATTATCTGGCATATTTAAGGATCTTTATTTACATCTATGGACAGTGGTTATCCCGCTTCATATGAAACAATGCCTCCTGTGTTTGTTATTATTCTATTTTGTGTGTTTGAACAGTTTTATTCTCTGATCTGTTGAGGACTTTGTAAAGTCTTATGAGATGACTGCTGATGACGCTATACAAAACAAAATTTAATTCAAATTCCCATTTTCAATTCCAGAATCATACGACTAAAGGACCAAAGACTTGGAGCCATACTGATTCAAAAAGGCAAATTTGGTCTTGAAGCATGAGAGCCACCTTTGAAGCGTGACTTTCCTGCAAACAGCCTCCTTCAGAGGAGACCAGCACCACGCGCTGCCTCGGATCTCTGGTTTGGTTTGGGTACTTGTAAAGAACAGCTGCTGAGGAGTGGGTGCGCTCTCGTCTGGTGCCAGAGCCGGCACGAGAGGAGTGTGTCCTAAAACTGCCTGCACTTATTGACTCCAAAGTCACGCACGCTGCAGCAGTCTGAACATGCACACCTGATCGAGCCCAAGCCATTCAATCAACTGGGGCTGGGTTTCAACAGCGATATCATCATAATGTGGCGCTGGCTGCAGGTCACAATTCAAGATCTGTTTTGTTATTGTCCATAGGGATACAAACAATTCAGTTACAGCAGTGGTAGGATCAAAATATTGCCTTACTTGCAGATGAGAACTTTCATTTTATATATGAATTATACCAATTCATTTAGTATAATTATTGTCATGTATTTTTGTTAATGCACCTTGTTTGACTTCAGAAAGAATAGCTGTGTTGAACAGCTAATGGAGATCAAAATAAATACAAATACAAATGAATACAAATACATTTATATTTGCTGGAACAGAACATTATCTTTTACGTAGTCTATACCGTTTGGCCAGGCATACAAAGGTGACTATTAAAAGGAACGCTATACATTTGATTAGGGCGAACAGTTAAAATATATATGGGTTTGGGCAGTAATAATACATTCTAAACTCTCATTCATGTGCTGAAGTTTGTTCACAACAATTTCTACATTTGAGGACATTTTTATATGGCAATTACAGAAAATGTTTTCACTTCTTGTGAACAGCTTATTATTGATCTTTTCTGCCATTTGCATCGGTGAAATTGGTCATACAAAAGGGACAATAGGGACAACTTGATAGTTTTGGACAATTCTGAACATGGATCAAAGTAAGACTGTCCCAGGTACATAGGGACGTCTTTGACACACACTAGTAGATGCCTATGAAAAAGTGACACTAGAGAGATTTTCGACATTAAGATTATGAGATTAGAATTCTTGCCAATATCCGGCAGACCCAGTCAAAACCAAATCCACACCTGGTCCAGACCCCGGTCCAGACGCTCACAGAACTTTAATCATAGTTGTCTCTTTAACGCGTGTCTCGGATGGCAGACGCACGGATCTCAAACGCGCGTGTCCCAGCCGCAGCTCTCCACCCACAGGGACCCAACCAGAACCGGGGGCCGTTCCACTGCCCCCGGTCGTGCACACTGTCCTCCTATAGTGTCCCCGTGTGCACCGGGACTGGAGGCCTGGAGCCGGAGCCGCCATGCCCACACAGCCCCACGGAGGAGCCGTGACAGAGCCAGGCCCCGAACACGAGGACGACAGCACATCAGAGCCCCCCCCCCCCAGAGCACCCCGCAGTCCCCCACAGCCCGCGGCAGTACTGACCTGCTCTCGGTACCGGGCCGCAGTCACCGTAAATCCTCCGTCCGCACAACAAAGAGGCGAAGATTGCCGAGCAGCGCCGGAACAGGCCGAAGGAGCGCTCTTCATCAATGACGCATGCGCAGAGAGGAGAAGTATGGAGGGGAGGGGGAAGTGGGGAGGGGGAGGGGGAGGGGGAAGTTCACCTGAACCGTCCCCCATGTGACTTTTAGTCATATTCAGTATTGCATGTGTTCGAGTTGTCCCTTAAACATGATCTTGAGGATAGTAACTCATGTTTCGGAATGTGACATTATTCCTGTAATTATTAAAAAATATTGAAAAACATGTGTAATCGACTCAGGATGAGAAACATTTCCATTATGCGGTAGAAGTGGAACAATATTCTGCTCATATAATAAATGTCTAACACAGACATGTTCAAACTAAGGCTAAACGTGGCCCTCATGCCATATTATGTGGCCCTCTGCCTCTAAGACAAAGTAGGTGTTGAGATCATAAGATGAGATAAGATAGACTTTACTGATTTCACATTTGGCATGAATAGAATTACTCAAGATTTGTGCAAAAGACAGTGTGCAAACATGCTAATGGGAAAAAAGGCAAAAAGTTCGTAAGACAAAGTTCAAAGTGCTTATATACTACCAATATAGTTGTGTTATACCTCGTTGTAAAGATCTGATCCTCTAGAATCCAGGCATAGATTCTTCCAGTTGTTCATATGGACAAACTTTTGTTTCTTATTGTATCACAACATTCCATATATGGCGCTAAAGTAGTAGCTGTGGTGAGATTGCAAGCATGCTTAAACATCAGTTTTGTCAAACATTAATCAATAAACTCATAACCACCCAATTCCTGTCATAACGGTTTTAAAATCTGGGTTGTCGGCCCCTGGCCATGTCTGGTCTAGTGTGTGAGACCTACTGAAGGAACACAGTTGTTCAGTATATTGAACAAAAATATAAACATATAGACAGTATAATATATATTCGTTCAGACCCAACTTGATTTCATCAGATTTGTAAATCAGATGTCTGTCCAAATCGTTTTCAGTGAGCATTTCTTTGCTGAGACAATCCATCCAACCTCACAGATGTTGCTTATCAAAATGCTGATTACACAACATGAATGTCTACGACAGGGGTTCGCAAGCGTTACAGGCAGGGGTCCTTGGCATAGGCACTGATGTACAGTAAAGATTACTACAGTAATACTTCAAAACATACAACATCATTTGAAAATTGTTTATTTGAGTAGTTCATTGTGCTACAAAAGCGCTACATAAGTTTGTGTACTCATCTCGCAAACCCCAGTGTCCCGCAACCCTCACTTTGGGAACCACTGACTGACCACAGGAAAAAATCACAGTATTAGCATTACATGAAGAGGACACATCAGGCGGATACATGAGTAGGAAGAGACAAGAAGAGGAGACGTGAGAAAGACACATAAGGAGGGGAAAAGGACACATGAGGAGAATGAGTCCACATGAGGAGGAGAAGTTAGGAGAAAACATGAGGAAGACACATCACAAGGAGACATCCGGAGGAGAAATGAGCAGGAAAATGAGGACAGATGAAGAAGAGACAAGAGAGGAGGACACATGAGGAGCAGGAGACATGAGGAAGACACATGAAGAGGAGAACACTGAGGAGGAAATATGAGGAGGAGACATGAGGAAGACACACCACGAGGAGATATCAGGAGGACACATGAGGAGAAGACATAAAGAGGAAACATGAAGTGGTCAAATGAGGAGGACACATTAGGATGAGACATGAGTCATGAGAAGGAGATAAGGAGTACACTTGACAAGGAGACATGTGGAGGACACATGAAGCAGAGGCATGGGGAGGACACATGAGGAGAACTACATGTGAGAAGGAAAAATGAGGATGATATGGGGAGGAGATATGAAGCAGATGCATGGGGAGGACACTTGAGGACAAATGAGGGGTAGACATGAGTACGCAAGACAGATGAGGAGGACACATGGTGGTGGCAGGGTCAAACTGGTTGCCTTGGGTCTGTCAGTCTGCCTCAGGGAAACTGTGGCTACAATAGCATATCACCACTAGCCAAGGAGATGCTTGTAATTAATCTTGACAAGTGAAGCATCTTTGAGTGTTCCGAAAACGTTATAAAACTGATGTATTCTTTTTTTCATTGCAGATGTTGATGCTTGGCTTGGTCTGACTTTACCTGTGCTGCATGTTATTGGGTTAACGATAAAATACTTACAATCAAAATGAGAATACATATGAAACATATGTTAACTTTGAGATGAGAGTGCAGCACGATTGTCCATGATGGAGAGGAGGTGGTCCAGAATCCTGTGTCTAACGTATGAAGGTTATTTTGTGTTTTTATTATCTACACTTTTTTTTGCTGTTGAATTATGTTAACTATTACAAAAAAAGGTATTCAGTGTAAATAAATTCAATATTTTAAAATTCAGTGTCCAAAAAAATCAATGTTTTGTAATTCAGTGTCAAAATATTCACTGTTTTAAAAGTCAGTGTCCAAAAATTCCATGTTGAAAAAAATTCAGTGTCCAAAACTTGAATGAGAAAAACAAAAAATACCCTTTTGCATGGAAAATAAAGACAGGGTGAAATCCGAGGCACTCTGATAAAAAGTCCTTTAATGCAGAAGGGACCAACGCGTTTCGGCCACGCAAGGCCTTCTTCAGGGCAATGTAAGAAAACATTGAATGAACGGGTGTTAAAATAGACAAATGACATCCACTAAACTAGTCACCTGACACACAAGAACAGCCTCTATTGGATGAGACATTGAAGGAACGCGTATGATAGGACCAGTGACGTCCACAGGACTCGTCACGTGATAAAGTATATATATCCTCCCTTCATTTAAAAAGAATGGAGGGAGGATATTAAAACTATTGCAGACATTACAAGGTAAGTTACAAAGACCAAAGTAACACACAAAGATATGTAAGCAGACACATAACCAGAGGGGCCCCTCAAAAAATACCTAGTCAAATTGACAGAATACAGTGCAAATAATAAAAAAATTATAAAAACACTGAGAAGTCAACATCCTCATTTAACCCCGGAAAAATAGTGGCTTTGAGTTTGTCAATCCAGAACGTTTCTCTTTGTGCGAGTCTTTTCACTCTGTCCCCACCTCTCAAACTCGCAGGGACTCGCAGGCAAAACTTGAATGTTGAAAAATATTCAGTGTCCAAAAATTTGTTGCATTTTCTTTTTTGCTGGTTGAAATGTCATGCTTGATTTCCGGGTAAATCAAGACAGAAGCAATCGATCAGCCAATCCTCCATAGATGTAGCCGGGGCCAGAACCTTGGATCTACATTATAATAATAATTGGATAAGGTATTACTATCTTATAGCTGTCCCACCCATGGGCACAGGGTTTACTGCAGACTAAATTCATGTGGCTACCTAGAAAAAAGTCCCATAGAACTCAATGTAAATTAAAACAGCTCGACCTCAGCTGACAAAGAACCTACAGCTTTCATAAAGATCAGATTTTGTGGGGATTTTAGTGTCCCTTGTCATCCTGAACTTTTTTCCTTCTTAAATCCTTCGGTTTTCTTTAAATCCACATTTTACTGCCACAAACTCTGCTCGTTTCCTTCCCGCTCTGACTCCGCTCTACCACTGTTCTGATCAGCAGCTCTGATTGGTCAAAGCGCGGCCGAGCCTCTCTGTGCACATGCATGAGAGCCACACATGCGTATTTGGCGCAATGCATCATGGGAGATAATCCACTGCGCAGAACCGGGAGGACAGGACGATTCCCAAATATAGCCGAGTTCCGCTGATATGTCAGCACCCGTGAAGTCCCATGCGTTACTGAGCCATTAATTTGAATAGGGCTCCATCTTGGATCACCGGGGCTTGGCCAGAACACAACTTTGTCCTGTTCATCTGAACGTACTATGTTCCCAATTTCAATGTGTATATTATCCTAGCAGTACAGAAAGGACGAGATTATTCAATCGGTCAGAAACCTGCTGACTCTTCTAGAGACAGAGCATGCTAAGAGGTTGTTGTTAATTATGTTTTTTATCTAGCCCTCCAATAATTATTCTATCTTTACTCTAAATTTTTAACATCTTAGTGAACCAAGAGGGAATGAAGGATCTGTTCTTTTTGATTAACTTTCAGGTATGAGTTGGGGTTTTAGATGAACACTGTCTTTGTTTGACTTGTAAAGAACACAGCACACAGACGCAGCGTTTTGTTGAGAATGACAAGTTCATACCAATCGTTACTTACACGGCTCTTTACGATGCAGGATTTGCACCTTAACTCCGAGTTCCTTAACCCACCCGCAGACAAAAAAAGTTTTAGGCATCCATGCTTTCGCTTAGCAGTGCAAAAGCATGATTGTAACACTAGATAGTTTGAGGTTTTTTTCTAACTCGCAAATCAAATTGTTCTTGGATAACGATCGATCTATACCGTTAAACAATTTGACTTTTTCAATGTATCAATCTCGAGAATTAGAATCTAAAGTGAAGAAAATGACAGTCTAGGATTGTGTAGATAACCAAAGCATGTAGTGGAAAAATACTGCCTTGTGCATATTGTTAGAATGATGAGTTAGAACCTTTACCACAGTAGCTTCAAAGTGTCATGAGATGTACCAAAAAGCACAAAAATACTCTGAGGAGTCACATTATCTTCGCATATACAGAGAGGAATCAGACTGATAGATATGGTTTTAATTGAGTATCCATCCATCCATTTTCTTCCCCTTAATCCATTTCTGGGTCGGGGGGGCAGTCAGAGCTGCACCCAGTACACAAAGCACCAGCCCCACAATGATCCTCCTGCAGGTGGTGAGTCCACAGGAGCTGAGATCTTTCAGTGGGGGCTTCAGGCAAAGTGGGGTTAAGTGTCTTGCCCGAGGACACAACGACAGCAGTCATCAGTGGGAGTCGTGAAGTAGGTCTTGAGGTGGGCTCGAACCCACAACCTTCAGGCCAAAGCTCTACCAACTGAGCCACTGTCGCTCCAGGTTTTAATTGAGTATATTTTGTAAATCCCATTCTACCAGCCTCCTGTTAAAGACTGGGAATGTATTTACATTTACTGTTGATATGACATATGT